CTCAGAAACTTCCTGTGGCTTGGGAAAATCAGCAAATGGGAACAGGCATCTTGGAGACTAAGAGCAGCAAACCAGTCATTGTGATTCCAGCCACGGGAAGAAGGAACAGATAGAAATTGGATGGTATAACCCAGTTGCACAGTGCTTAGGATCCACTTGTCTGAGGTTATTGAATCCCAAGCTCTATGGAAGTGGGACAGCATGTCCCCAAATGGAGGGGAAATAGCCTTGACCGGTGACTGGTTTGTTGCCCTTGAAGGGAGGGTCAAATTGGCTGCTTGCCATTAGTTGATGGACTATGGGCTGGCTGGCTGAAGATGGAAAAAAGAGGGCCTTCTCCTGTGCAACATGTGTGTCTCCTCTTGGAGTCCTGTTGTCTTGCAGAATAAGCAGGCTGCCTGAAATACTGTTGGGAGTACTATTGGAATTGTTGTTGTTGTTGTAGATCCCCATAATGATGTCTTAACTGTTGAGGTATAAACCCCAAAGGATCATAAAGTGGCCCTGGAGTCCTTAAAAGAATGTAATGTCTCATTAGTCTTTTTAGAAAACAAAGACATAGCCAAGTCTGTAGCCAAGAAGCTCTCCTCGTTGTTACAGTTGAAGCCATAATCCTATATGAGGTGTCCGCCATACCGAGTGCTGATTGCAGTGATGTCTTAGAGACTAGTGGGCTCTCTGCCAGAAAAGCCTTAAACTCTTCCACAGCATCCTCGGGCAACTCGTCTATAAATCTGGACATTGTGTCCCAATTCACAAATTCGTATTTAGATAAAAGCACCTGCTGATTAGCAATGTGCATACGTAAAGAAGACATAGAATAAATTTCTCCCCCATTTAATCCAATCTCTTGGCCTCTTTTAGACATTCACTTATATCTGCCCTGTCACATTCTCTCATTAGTGGCAGTCACTGCAAGCGAATTAGGAACTGGATGCAAGTAGAAACACTCAAATCCTTGCACAGGGCCTGGACTAATGTGGCCCTTGGTGTTGAAAACAGGATCAGTACTGTTATTTTTAAGCATCTGTTGAAGCACTTTACTAGAGAGTTCCCTTGTGATCCAAAAGAAGGCTTCCTGCAGTGTCAAAGAACGTTTTTAGTGGATAGCTCTATAATCCGGCGGGGGGAGTCCACTAGCTCCGATTGGAAGTTCTGGTTAGCAAAAAGGTCTGTACCATCTCTAACTTCTATGATATGAAGAGGATTTTGTAATTTAAAATTTTATTAAGCCACTGTTCCAGAAGCCAAGTAACTAATAAATGAAGACTAATACAAATGAGCTTGACTGGATTTTTATATTGATCTAAAAATAAAATCTGCTATATGCCATCTATCTGCGAACAATGGTGAAATAATTTACAAAGTGTGCTTAATAAAAATTTGTATAGTGCCCAGCACCATGGGATCCTGGTCCATGACCTGGGCTCCTAGGTGCTACTACAATGAAAAGTTATTATGTATTAAGTGCCTAACATTCAACTCTCATAAAGCCAATAATCACTGAAAACAGAAGGAGTTGCGCCCTCATACCTGAAGGCAGAATTTAGCCCTACTTAATTATGGTTCACAATATCCCTGCTAGGCAAGCAATTTGCACAGTTAAAATGGATGCATCAGAGGTAAGCTATTTGCTAAGCCACCAAATGCACCACCAACTAAGTGGGGAACAGAATGCCGATGCCCTAACTAATATTTCTTTCTTTAACCAGCTGCACTAATAACTCTCCCTTCCCTTCTCCATCCTTTCCACCCCACAAATCTAAGATTTTCTTCTCCTGTAGGCTTCTCCCAAGGAACCTTTTCTGTGCCTGTCTTTTAGATTGAAAGCAATTTGGGGCAAGGACGGGCTTCATATCATACCTGGCACCGCACTGAGTGCACTGCCAACACTTAAAACAACAAAAACAGAACACAGCCTCGTGTTTGTAAAATTTCCAACAGTCAAGAACACTTACCCGAACACCCAGCACTGAGTTCCTACCCTTTTGCACTGTGTGTCTGTGAGGTAGGCGTAATATTGCCTGGAAACAAAAACAACAAATGAAAATTCTTTAACGAAGCACAAAGCTTCTGAAATACATTTACACTTTTAAAAAATGATTAACATTAATATTCCCTATATCAAAAGTGGAGCACTTAGGGCTTATATCATGCGTTAAGTTAAATCATGATGAAAGCCTACTAGATGGCTTCAGTTTTAGTAGGACTAATCATCAGATGGGGGGGGAAAAAAAATCAACCAGAGGCTAACAAGTCTTGGAAGAGCAAATTTGATTAAAAAAAGTATCTATGCTCTAAACTTTGAAGTTATTTTTCATTTTAAGTTATTCTAGTTCCTGAGTGCACATGTACGGCTTGGGAGGTAAAGTGTGTCAGTAGAGGGTTAGTCTTGGGGAAAAAACATGAGTCTAAGGAAACCAAGGATCTGGTTAAAAATTAGATTCATCATTTTAAAATATGCCTCTTTCCTGTTTTGACATTACTCTGAAAGGCTCCCATTCTGACACTGTGTCTAAGCGGGAATGGAACATAGTTTACATGACTATACTGACAGCTCTGGTGACTGTTATCCTCCATTCACAGAACACACACAGCACAGGCAGCAGCACAATGCAAGGTTTTTCATAATCTGCCAACCTGTATCAGCATTGACCTGGAGAGATCACTGCTAGGGGTGGGGGATAATTCAGTTTCCAAGCTGTTCAATTCATGGTTTTTCTACAGAGACTGCCAATAAAGAATACTACTTGTGACAGTGATTGTATTTTGAGGGTAACAGATTAACGGCTAATTAATGTGAATGGAAGGTAGAGCAATACTTGTGATATGATTATTAGGAAAAATGCCATTTGCCAGCATAGTGGGACACGATAGCAGAATTGTCTTCTTTTTATCCTTTCACAAATACAGAAGAAATTAAATTCAAAAGTCTTATGTTGCTGTAACATCAGGGTTAAGAATTTAAACAGAGGAAGCATAACGGGGAAGAATGGTCCAGTGGTTCGGGGTGCTAAGCTGCGACTCTGGAGACCTGGATTCAATTCCCTGCTTTGCTACAGGCTTCCTGTGTGACTTTGGGCAAGTCACTTATCGTTTGCTCCAGCCCAGGCAGGAACGTCTACACTGCTATTTTTAACCCACTTGCAGGAGCCCCACAAGACCAAGTCAGTTGACCCGGGCTCTGAGACTCGATGCCATGTGCCTTTTTTTTCTTTTTTTTTTTTTTTGGCAGTGTAGACATACCCTTTGTTTCTCTGTGCTTCTGTTCCCCATCAGTAAAAGGAGCATAATAGCACTTCCCTACTCACAAGACTGTTATGAGGATAAATACACTAAAGACCGTTAGGCGCTCAGATACTATGGTAATGGGGTCCATATAAGTACCTAAGAGAGACAGAACACACAATATTGAAAAGTTACAGTTCCTATGCAAACAATGTGCACATACATATTAAAATATATATTTACCAGAACCCCACCCAAAAACAACCTCAAGTACAATATATGCTTCAATAGCTGGAATCTTGACTTTTCAATTTGGATGTAAACAGAAGCTGGTTGCTACACAAAATTACTTCATGAAATAATTTTGTGAGGTGACTATGGATTGATTAGTTCTCAAATCCCAATCATGGTTCATATTTTGTAGCTTCACTAATTATTCAAAACAAGAAACGATCACCTTTCTTTATAAACACATTGTGGTATATTCCATACTCAAGCATAAATAGGTAGCTAGAGGCAGGTATCATGGAAAGACCCACAGGTGTAAATTCCCTAACCTGCATGCTGTCATGATCATATGGCTCTTGTCAACAAAAGAACCTTACATGAAATTATGGATGGCTGTATATGGAGTTAATCCACACAACACAGGCAACTGCTGTGCAATCAGAAGAGAGAATGATGGATTCTTATCAAATGCAGATTTTCACACAAGTCTCACCATTAGTAGCATACACCCAGACTGCTGAATTTTATCCTTAGTCTTATACCTAGGACTGCAAAAATAATGATAATTTTGCCCTTTTTGGAGACTTAAATGCATTATTTCTTTTAACATACTGTACTTATTTATAAAGCCTGCACACCTTTTCTTGTGTTCCTAAGGATCAGAACTACTGTACAATTAGAAGAAAATAAAATAAGTTACCTTACAGTGGGTGCTGTGATAATTCCAATGAAGAGAATTCTACCCCAGCTTAAAGGGTGACTTGCTTGGAATACAAAGATATGTTTCAAAAAGAATGTGTTCAACTCAGTCAGCTGGAAATAAAAAAGTCAGTTAATAAGGTTCTATTTTACAGGACAGACACATGCACATGTAACCCCTTCTCAGAGACGGATACAGAAAATGTTAGGATTAATATAATAATTAAAATACACAAGAGGGAATTATTTATGGTTTATTGCAGCTCAGTAACTAGCTCTGCTGGTTGGATTAAGAACTAAAAGCTCTTAAAATATCATCTTCAGAACAGGCAAAGTTGTATACCAAGTCAACAAACCAAAAAATAAAATTAATAAAAACAACCCCTCCCCCCCCCCCAAAAAAAAACAACAAAAAAAAAAAACCAGTGCTGAACTACTTTGTATACTTCAGATAACCCATCAAGGTTTCAGTTAATAGTTTGTAGAGTTCCATTTTGGAATAACAGCGTAATTCTTGAACCAGTGCTAGGACACAAATTTAGAAAGAAGAGAAAGTGTTCAAGTCTGTAAAATTCAGAGCTCACTGGACTCTTTACAAACCAAATCCAGCTGAGTTTTTTCTTTTTAAAAGAGTTCCCCATTTATACCTGTTTAGTTTAAAAAGTTGTTTTTTTAAATTAAATCCCTTAAAAAGATCTAAAGCTAGTATAAATTATGGGAAAGTGGCTGAAATATGCACAAACATGTTCATAATTTAGTACAAGTATATTTATGCGCTCATGCCAACAAAACCACAAATGATCAAACTAGTCCATCACTTTTAAAAAAGCAGCTAAAATTGAATATGAAAATCTGGAATTGGAGATGGCAGCTCCAAACAGCTGTAATAAACCACCTGCTCCCTTGAAACAGGTACTCAGGTTTAATTTTACTGAAATTTTTAACCCCTTAAGAATTCTCACAGTAGAAAATCAAGTGAGGATGTGACTGCTCAATGTGATCATTTTTTATTTTAGATAGTGTGTCCTACACTATATTGTACTGAAGTATTTTTGGAGTAAGAATTGTAGGACTGGTGTCCCAGTGGGCCTCATCTCAAAACAAGACACATCTCTCACAAAGGAAGTCTGTTCCAATTAGCAAAACTGTAAGTAAGTAAATTGCATGCTATCTTGGGGGTGAATTTTCTACGATGCTAGAATGATAATATTCAAACATCTCCATCAACATTGCAGAAAATAGCTTAATTTTTATGGGGAAAGAATTTCTTCTACCTCTCTCCCCCCCCTTTACATTCACTGCATTAGTTCCCTTCTGTTTGCATTAACGTAAAAGCCTTTGGCGGCAGCAATATGACTGGGGCCAGACACCAATGACTGTAAATAGTTTGCAGTCGCTCAGTAATGCAGTGCTCTCTTGCTGTATCTCCTTCTGATCAAGAATGGTTTAAATTAAACCAGTGGTTCCTGAGCTTTTAGGGCAAATGTACCAGTTTAACAGAGTTGTATGAGGTAGTGCCTGCCAACTCAGGCAGATTACAGACCGAACAACTGAATGAGAGGCAGATAGCAGTAGCACATAAGTGCCCAGAAAACAGGGTCATCACTAAAGGCTATGTCATTAAGGGCTATTATGGACTTCACTTAAGCAAAACTGCCACTTGTATTAAATGTTGCCTGACTGAACAGAGATTAAGGGCAATGGGATTAGAGTCCTAAGAAAGAGAGCGTATCCCTGGGTACCATCACAAATGCTGTAAGGTATTTCAGCAAGTGCCTAATTTTAGGCACATGAATATTCCCATTAAAGTCATATGCACTTAAAGTTAGGCATATGTTGAAGAACCTTGGTGAACTGGGGGCTGAATTCAGAATATCATACTGGTGCATGCACCATCAGCTGGGAAAAACCTACCCATCTGTTTCTTCAGTTCTTATAACTATCCTTTGCATACAGTAACCCCACAGCCAGTACATCAATCTGCAGCCATTTGTTTCTTTCACAGATACTGTAATTTCACTCCTAAACTGTAGTCCAGATGCATTGGATAGTGTCCAGAATAGTTTGTGGTATCAGTTCATTTAATTATACATTTCAATGATGGACTAAGATAAGAATATAATATCTTCTAACCAAACTCAGCCAGTAAGTAAACTGAGCTGATACTAGTTTTGATTTCACAAAAGTTATTTCTTACCTGCCAGATGATCATGAAAAGGTATATTCCAGCCACTCTTTGAAATGAAGACTTGGGGTCAAACCAGCGAACATAGGTCCAGCTAGCTGGAGTGAACTGTAATACAGCTCTTTTGATTTTCCCTGTGGTGGTATGAATGTCCCTGAAAGAAAAGAATGGCTGCAGTAAAGATAAGGAAAAGATAAGGCGGGGGTGGGGGGGGGGGAGTGATACTGCATTTTAGTATTTCTTCTATAACAAATCATGATGCACTGCTCTTTCCCATAAATCTGTACTTAAGTGCAATGTGTTGTGTGTTACAGCAAAGGTCGCATTAAGAGGCAGAATTTATTGAGTGTTTCAGTGAAGAGGCAAACGGCTATTATGAGAAATAGCCTTCTTATAGCAGAGCTATATACAGACTTCAGTCAGTAGTAAAAAAGCAAAAACTAGAAAACAATGAAGTCAAACTCCCAGTGCTATCTAAAGTACAGTTATTCAGTTTGGGTTTCAAAGCATTTTGTTCTTTCCCTGAAGGAAAAAGGACCAAGAGGAATGGTGTTCTGCAAATCTCCCACAGAATCCTGAAGAGAGGTTCCCTCGTTATCTCCCTATTTTACAGCTTCACTGTCCTTACCAACGAGGTGTAGATGGTGATTCCCTTCTATAGATCATCAACACCACTCCTTAAAGGATCAGTCAGATTTCATTATTTAGAAATATGGGATTCCTATTCCACTGGTCTGAGTGTGTTGCTATTGCAGGATTCCCAACCCATGCGAGCTTGATATTGGACCCAACTTGGGTGTCCCACATGGCCATGTACAGCACTGTATGTAAGCCATAAGCTTACCTCTGCTTCATAAATTTTGCCCCCACGCCCACCCCCCATCTTGGAAGGAAGGGGAGTCTCTGTCAGATGGGCTGCATTTTGTTTTTAACATCTTTGTTACCTGGACGGTTAACAAAACAAATGGAAGGAAAGCTGTTGGTGGAACCTTCCAACTCTCCTCTCCTCCAGCTGAGGGTTGGGAAAGCGACAAATTAGATTTCAGCCTGTTGTGATGTCACTATCCCACTCTAGGTCTGTGCTCCTCCAGGGGAAACAGGGAAATAGAGATTGACATTTCTGGTATTTGTTTTTTTAAGTGCAAGTTTGGTTTGTTTGTTTGTTTATTTTAATCTTCAAACCCACCTTTACATAACAGAAAAGAGCAGTAAAGGACACAAGCAAAACCATTTTTCTCCTTGCAGTTCACCTTTGTAAAATCACCAACCAAGAATTTAAAAATATTAGGAATTCACATGAGCCTTTTAACAGATAATGACAACCACCACCACACCATCCTAAAATAAAAAGCTAGTGGTGAAGACGGTTCCCTCAATGGATATACTATTTGTCTTACTCTTAATCTGCACTGCACTCTCCCACAGATGTGGGACACCAACTCTATGATGCTCCTTGTGTCCCTGCTGGATTGAGAGGCAGGAAATCCTGAATTTAGACCAAAACCCAGGTCTCCCTCATCTTAGCAAACAGCATGTCCAGTTAAGGAAGGTAGTGTGGTTTAGTGTATAGGATACAAGACTGAAAGGCAGGAGATCTGGACTCTCTTCCTAGCTCTGTCCCTGACTTGTCCAAGGTCATTAACAGCAAGTTACTTATCCTCCTTCAGTTTCAGTTTCGCCATCTGTAAAAGATGGATAATACTGCTTTGCCATCTCAGTAAAACTGTGGATGAAACTAAATCTTTGAGTTGGATGGATGAAACATACCATAGGCCAGATTCTGCCACTCTTATTCACACTGACTACTACCTTATACTGCAAGTGCTTCCACTGATATTAATGGAACCACCTGTGGACTAAAGTACTACACAACATACGTTTATCAGAATGTGGTCTTACATATGTTAGGTACTGATAGTATTATTGCTGGGTCACCACACTAGAGCATAACAGCCTGATCCCAAACCTACTGTTAAAAGGATTTAACGAGTCAAACAGTTCAGATGTACGTGTGTATTTGGTTCCTTTTCCTTCTAACAATGCTTTGCTGCCATGAATTAAAAGCTTAAAAATGCACATATCATTTCCTTCTACCATTTTGTATTCTATTTGGCCTCAACTTTCACCTTTAAGACTAAGCAAAATTCTTAAAAATTCAATTATAATCAGGAACACAATTCATACAAAAGGATTAACACAAGATGGTGCCCCAACATTATTAATCTCATATATAGCACTGTAAATATACACTGATCACACTCCATTTCTATAGCACATGCATTTTACATAAAGACATTTCACGAGGAGCTAATAATTCAGAATTTTACACTGCAATATTTTAAACATGAAGCTTATTGGCTTTTACTTTAGACTTACTTGAAACTCGCCCAGTGATAGGTCCTCATCTCCAAGAAACGACAAACTATCATGCCCAACCAGATGCCACCCCCGTTACATAGCAGGATGTCCAAAATGACTTGATCCCACCAGCATTCAGCAAAATTAGGCAGAAGATGCATGAAGAACAGCTACAGAATATAGCAAAAAAATTCTGGGTGAGGAACAACATAGAATTCTTACAAAGACTTTCAACTTTCTTTTCTTTTCTTTTTTTTTTTTTAAAAAGCAACTGTTGAGCAAACAAAAAGTGTAATATTTTATGAGCCTGCTTAAAAGTCCGTTGAAGTCAATGGGCATCTTTCCACTGATTCTAGTGGACTTTGGATCAGGGTCCTAAAAAGGCTTCAGAGGTTTCCCTCCTCTCACCTTTTCCCTCTAGTGCTGTACTATCTATAGGAATCAAGTGCAGAGTTTTGACCCCCTCAGATATAATTCAGTGTTATAACACAGAACCCTTGCAGAACAACTGCATTTCTTTCAGAGAAAGGAGGGTGGTTTTGTGCTTGTCTAAAATTAAAAGGCTACATTTTAAAGAGAATCTTCTTTGTTATTTAGTGTTAAACTGTCTGTTCTCTGAACAGTCAATAACGGAATCAGCAGAATGATTAAAAAGTAAACACATCAGCATCAATATTGAAGCACGTTGGAATGCATGATTTTTAAGACTTCTAACTGAACACAATTCAGGAACTTAAGTCTTTTTTGTTAATGATTTTTGGGGGAATTTACTACTTGTAAAAGGTTATAGGACTGGCAACCCGTATGATGCAATGTTTCTATTCCTAGACAGATACAGCAAAGACAGTGGCAGTACAAGCTTTGCCATGCTGACCTACCAAACTTTCTCATCCTTGACCTGGAGGGGCCTAGGAGCAACAGGATATTTCATTCTCCATGTGCTTTCAATCCCTTGCATTTCTGCTAACTGCCAATCGAGATAGTGCTGAGATGGTGCTATTAAAAAAAGAAGACTAAGGGTTGGTCTACCCTACCGCTTAAGTCGATGTAACATAAGTCACTCAGGGTGTGAAAACGACAACCCCCTGAGCGATGTAAGTTACACTGACTTAAGGCGCTGTCCACATCGTGCTATGTCGGCAGGAGAGTGCCTCCTGCCGACATTACTTCTGCCTCTCACGGAGGTAGAGTAATTATGCCGATAGGAGAGCGCTCTGCATCAGTGCAGTTGTGCTGATGTAGCGCGGTAGTGTAGACATGTCCCGGGACCAACTACTTATTTCATATAGGGCAGAACAGACAGTAATGACTTTCAGTCCTCAACAGCTAGATTCAAACGAGCAATATAGGGGTAAAAGAGCTGTTACAATCTCCCAATATTTCCAGTTTCCTACGAACTTCCTTTGGAGAGTGTAACATCATTCATTTCTAAAGCTCACCGTCTTGCTCCTGTATGACTCATGTTCATGTCATGAGCAGCGTATGGCATCGGTCCAGCAATAAGATATACCCTCTGCCCTTCAAGAAGAAGTAACTTTATAATCTTCATTCATAAAGTGAGTGAGGCAGAATTGTGGGACTGAGACATTTTAAGTAAAACACAAACCTGATTCATTCAGGGCTAGAAATGGACTGCTCAGATTAAGTGAAAACAAGTTTTGATCTCCATTACAGATTATCTCCGCAAACCCCAAAGGCTCGAAATTGGATAACATTTAGTAATTCATCAGAAAAGGGGATATGTGCATGTTGAGCAGTCCCTGTGATATGTTCAAGGAGGTGCCAAGCAAAACAGATATTCCTCATAGTATTCTATATTTTCTTTCATTAAACGCTAACAAAGGTAAAAGGAATTGGCTTGTGTAGTCTCTTGCATGCTACCAGAATTTCACATTAAAACATCTTTCATTGCCAGAAGAATGTAGAAAAAATGTTATGTCAGATATGTGAGGGAGGGGCAAGGAGTGCCTCATGCACAGAGCAAGAAATGATGCTGGTCACTGTAAAATGAGATACAGTGATACCTTTCCTCCAGGGTAACTGCAGAAACAGAACTGTTTAAACATCTTTATTTTCCCTGCACTAAAGCTGTGGCCCAGTTTTAACATGAAAAGGAAGAACTTTAAATTATTCTCCAGAATCAAAGACGTACGCGACTTATACTCTAACAGTGGTTTCAAATCAATCATCTTACTTTATAAAGTTTTTGGATAAATCTGGCGTGAAATGGGCATTATATTCATTTCTCATATTATGTTTTAACTCTCTTACAGTATTTAATGATCTTATATAATGCATTATTTTCCCCAAAGACACTGCAGATTATAGCTGAGGAGGCTGAGTGTAAACAGAGTAACGATATTTGCATAATACCAATATGTGGTGTTGGTGGTACTGAGCATGGAGCATCAAAGGTATGTCTGAATTCCAACTTTAAGAAGATAGTATTCAGCATGTGTCAGTGTCCAGTTTCAGTATGGGGATTTAGCCAGCCGACAGCTATCAATGTTAACAGGAGATGCCCAACAACTAAATCCCTATGCAACTCCCCTGATAGCTACGGTAGGTTTCTAATGACTCTTCTGAAATAGTTAAAGCCCTAAAAATCCATTTGAGTGGCAGCATCCTACCTATATGGTAAACTTTCCCCAAACACATTGTCTATTCCAATATTCTGCCCTTCACTAGCAGGGAATACCAATCATATGGGGTCAAGTTGTGGGGGTGGCTTTGTGATGATCAATAGGGGATGATAAGAGTCACTTTAATTTGTGAGCTGAGTCAGGATTTCAACCTGTTCTCTGAAGGTGAAGGTTAATGCATTAGCTCACTGTGCCACCTACTGCCTTCATGAATTGGAATTCACTTTTAATTTTAAACAATACAGTTCTAAGAGGGGCCTGGAAGAGATAGAACCCATGAATACCTAAGAATAACAGCACACATTAGTAGGAGGAGATGTTAGGGCCAATATTTTCAAACTGAGGGGGACTCACATTAGGTTCCTAAATCCGTATTTAGTTTCTAAAACATAAGTCAGTTGATTTTCTGAAGGCTCAAGCACCATCAAACTCCAATGAAATCAATGAGATCTGCTGCTTTAAAAATTAGGCCTACTAAGTTGGGTGCCCTAAAAATGGATTTAAGAACCTAAATTTAGACGTCAAAGTCTCAAAATTTTGTTCAAAGTCTTTTTGGCTTGTAAGAACTAGAGCCTTCCTGGTCTGAAATGCTTAATAACTGAAAGCAAGTTTCAGAGAGTCTGTCTCATTGCAGCTTCTAGAACATCAGCTTCCCCATAACTGGCATCCTCCATACCCTGATCATTCAGGTATTACAAAACTGAATTCAACTTTACAGAAATGTGGCCTCAGGAGTTTAGGTTGGTAACATTCTACTGATTAAATTATAGGTTAGATAAGATAAAAGTTGGATAAAATTAAGTTATTTAGGATAACGAGAATTCAACTTAATTATCAGAACACATCTAAGAACAACAGGCTACTGCACAGACTGCTGTTCCTACTGGCCAATTCAACATAGATGTCAGCAATTATCAAGCACAAAGAGGGCTTGAGAATGAGAGTCAGCTGCAGAAGTGAGGAATGTGTGCGTGAGCCCACGTATAGAGAGAACTGCTTTCACGTCCTAGCACAGAAATCAGTCAGTAATCCTTACAGTTATACGGCAGTGTTTTAAGATAACAGTTCAAAACACTACTGTAGGCTGGGGTCATGTTATGTAGGATACTGTTACATATGGGGGAGAAGTAGGGCTGAGCACTGCAGGGCTAGTCTAACCTAAGGCTTTGTCTGCACTAGGGAATAGCTCCCACTTGGCAACTGGTGCCCAGCAATTCATGCTGATCCCTTAGTGTGGACAGGGGCAAGCTAGGGTTTGCACTGATTGAATTAGTCAGAGTTTACTACTAACTTTTCTCACTTTCTAATTTTATTTAGTGTAACCTATTTGGTCTTCACATTTCTTCCTGAAATGATTATAGCATATGCTTTTTGTAATTTACTTTGTACGTATACTGGTATTTAGCTAGTGCTGAAGTAAAATTGCCAGTCCTCTTTCCTGTATGCTATGAGTAATATATAGTACCCTCAGCCTGCTCATGATTAACATGTTAACCTACCTCAGTGAGCTCCCAGGTGATGCTAATAGTCCAACATAGCCCATAGCTGCGGACCAACAAGGCCTTCATTGCCCAGCCCCAGAAATGCCCAAAAGCAAATATGTCAAAATGGCTGAGGATTCTCTCCCAGGTGATAACATGGCAGTTCACAGCATATTCCTGTTAGCAAAACAACAACAGATCCTCAGTTAGGATTTACATCTGGAAGCACCAAATTTTAGCTCAGCGTAAACTGAAAGGCTGAAACTAAAGAGATTTTGGATTTTGAAATCCATGTTGCTATTCCCACCAACATTAGAAATGCCCTCTTCCGCCTCCTCCTAGCCCTGGCAATTAGGTTAGAAAAAGGGTCACTGGGAAACTGAATGGTGAACACTTGAAAACAGAAGGAATTTTGCTCCTTCTGGTGTGCATCTCTATCATTTTTGACTTGTTTAAAGCAGGTGCTGATTGTTATAATTGCTGGTAATTATGGGGCAAATTCTGTCCTCAGTGCATAGCCTCAGGTATGTACGCTGTAGGCTGGTTTTTGTGCACGGTGTGGATTGGGAGCAGAACGTCCCTCTTGGGCCTCAGAGCTATACAGAATGGAGTCTCTGTACCCTGCTCCCTGCCTGGATAGAACTGCACCAATGCTGCTGCGATCAGGACCTCACATACCTGTCTCACATGAAGACAGGACTTAACACTATGTACAAGTTTATATTTTGCCACCTCCCTTTTTTTTAAATTAACCAAACAGCTGGTAAGCAAAAATCATGCTGCGCTCTTCCATAAGCCATAAATCTGAGATGAAGTAGAACAGGGACAGATAGAAGAAATCCAAAGAAATAGCTATGTGGAATAATGTTGCTCCCTATCCCTCAGTGCTCTTCCTCAATTTGTAGCCAATAAAGCTGCAGTAATCAAGAATAGGATAATACTGATGTCATCATGGTGCAAATGAATCTGAAAGGGGTAGAGAGAGTCTTTGGGGTGAATGCTGCACGTGTGACTGAAGGATAGAAATAACAGTAAGGAGAAAGAAATATGGAAAATACACATATAAAACCCCAAGCAAGCTGGTCATGGAAAAAGGGGTTATATACAAGTGATCAAGGTTCTCTTGCTTTAATGCTGTCCTTGAAGGTCTGGTTTTCAAGCAACTCAACAGTGGTACATCCTCAGTACAATGCCTAAAGCAGTTCCACAGACAAGCTGCAGATCCAACTCCCACTGACTTCAGTGGAGCCAGGATTTCACCCAAGCTCTCTCCACACAGGGATGGTAAGCGCTGCTCACTGCAACTGCCCTCACATGGGCAGCAGGTATAATAAGCCAGGGGAGGCTAAGCCTCTGCTAACCCCGGCTGTTGCATGATGACACTCCACCCCATGGCCCCACACTCACTCCCCCTCTTCTCCGAAGCTAGGGGGGTTCAGCTCCAGCCAGTGGCCTGGGGGGTCAGGCTGGGGCTCAGGCTGGCCAGCGGCCCAGTGGTCAGGGTGGCCTGCAGCAGCCAGAGCAGCTGGGGTTGGGCCAGGCTCTTCCAGGCACGGGGGAGTGGTGGTGCGGCTCAGGGCTCCAGCAGGTGAGGCCTTATGCGTAGGGCCCTACCAAATTCACAGTCCATTCTGGTTAATTTCACGGCCAGAGGATTTAAAAATTGGTCAATTTCACAATTTCAGGTGTTTACATCTGAAATTTCACCGTATTGTAAACACAGGGCTCCTGACCCAAAATGGGCTCATTGGCGGGAAGGGGGGGTTGCAAAGTTGTTTTAGGGGGGGTCTGCAGATTGCCACTCTCACTTCTGTGCTCCGGGAGCGCCCCAGCTGGGGGCTCCTGGCTGCTAGTCCATGCCAGAGACAGATTAAAGCAGGGGCCCCCAGCCAATTTGGGGGCCCCCTCCGAAAAAATGGGTGCCCCAGCCCCGGATGAAGCCCCAGGGCAGAAGACCCTATTGGGTCAACCTGAGCAGTGCAAGAGCTGCCGGGGAAGAAGCCCCGAGCCCTGTCTGCAGCCGCGGCCGAGCCCAGGCTGGAGGGCAGGGGGTGAAAGCCCTGAGCCGGAGTGGCTGGGGGGGAGGGGGGCCCCAAAAAAGCCCCGAGCCCAGGCCGGAGCAGCTGGAGGGGTGAGGGGGACACAGAAGCCCCGAGCCTGGGACAGAGCAGCTGAGAGGTAGGGGGGGGCGCAGAAGCCCCGAGCCCGGGCCGGAGTGGCGGGGGAGGCGCGGAAGCCCTGAGCCCAGGCTGGAGCGGCTGGGGAGGCGCGGGGGCAGAAGCAGGGGAGATCAGATTTCATGGACGGTGACATGTTTTTCACACCTATGAAATTGGTAGGGCCCTACTTATGCGGAAGGGACAGGGGCAGGGGGCTAGCCTCCCCAAAGCGGGGGGGTTCATGCGCCAACCATGGTCACAGGTAAAAGCCACTCTAACAGGGTTGCTGAAAGGGGGTTTATTGCCCTGTCTCCTCCTCTCGCAGGCTAGTGGAGTTGATCGGGCACAGAGAGAAGTGAAAGTACCATCTACTGTAAGGGTGGCAAAGCTGCAGTTGCAGTGCACGTGCCAGAGAGATCCCTCCAGAGGAGTTAGGAGCCCTGGAAGGAAGCCTATTGCAATGTAGTCCCCTCTGCACCCTGTCCAGTGCAGACTATGCCTTAAAAGCCACAATCTGGCCCTACATTTAAAAAACCATTACACCATAATTAAAAAAAATTTCTGTTCCTAGCAAGTCTCCTAGCTGTAAGGTTTACATTTACTACTACTGGAGAAACCAGTGTAATACCAAAGATAGGATAGCATGAGAAAGCTCAGGTCAAGAGCCTATGAAATTACAGAATCTTAATCTAATTATTTAGGTTATTCAGTGCCACATTACAATAATGTAGGGTGCTTTTTTTTTTTTTTTTTTTTGTAAAATTTAAAAGTCATCTTATTGATAGGCACAGCATTTTGAGCACCAGAGAGAGGGCTCTCATTTTGCCACCAATGCAAACAAAACCATCAGAATATCTACTTAGTTCTTTAATTTTTGACCACAGATGGTCATACATCCTACAGCATACCCTAGACTCTTCCCAGGTCTGGCCACAGAAGACCTGCGCAGTATGAACTTCATGGGTTTTGGGGAGAAGGCCAAGGAGGGAGAATACAGTTGCTTTATGCTTTGTTACTTCTTTTCCTGCACACACATATGCAGAAAACAGGGTCCAAATTCAAGCCATAAAGCTATAAAGTTAAATTGAGTTCATCTCCCAGTTTGTATAATGACCCACATGCATATGCAATTTTTTAACTATGTACTCTGTTTTATTTCTTGAACAAAAACAAAGTGTATTGTTTGCCTGAAGGAGACTGTAAGTTCCTAGATAGGGCAGGGTGCTGCACGTTTGTATATTGTAGACACAATGATAATACGCAAATAAAAAGCATAAGACTTGCAGCAAGATTCCCCAGAAAGAAGTCTAATTATACCTGGAGCTGCAAGTACAGCTCTGACACCCTAGCAGTGGGTGCCACTTGCACTTTCCTTTGTGTCAAGAGGAGACAGGGCCATAACTCTGGATTTAGTTTGTCCACAAATAAGTCATCTATTATAGCTATTTGTAAAGGAAATGAGAGAAATTAAGTCTGTGCAAAAGCACAAAAGGAACAAAGTTCCATTGCTTAGTACTGTCAGGAAAAACCCCATATTCCCCATTAAATTTGGTCTGATAGCAATGGTAGACCACCTATTCTGACTTGACTCCAAGCTGCTCAGGTATGATCCAGATACTACAATGATGGATATCCTTCAGATATCTAGCATCACTTTCATGATTAACCCAGAACCTCAACACAAATATTTCTAATATGCCCAGTAGATCAGTTTTTACTAATTTGAATCAGAAAGAATAAAAAAAATTTTTTAACTGGTTAATTGAAATGTAGAGATCTGACAGTTAATACAAAATAGCTGTAACTTGCACGAGGATGCTAAGTATACATACCATGATGTCTGCTTCCCTGGTGGCATAACGAAGATTAGGATCTAGCCAATACATCACTGCTTTGACCTGCTCCAAGTTAAGGAAGAGCACAAACACCAGAAACAGGAAATAGAGAACGCTGAGACCTGTCGGAGGTAGAATCATATTCACATGGAATGTTTATTGAGGAAATTCCGTGGGCCAAATAGTCAAAAATTGGTTCCAAAGTGGTGCCCCAAAGCCTGCTTACAGTGATTAACTGCACACAGAAATGCCAATTTGCACAAATGCAGGTTTTGTTCAGACAATAGCTGCATACAAACATTTTGCAAACACACACCATGTGGCAATCTTTGGGGGGAAAAAAACAAAACAAAAAAACCCAGCCTTTTATACCATTGCCTATCGGATATTCTATTACGTAGACATGACTGAGCAAACAGAACCAAAACAAGTCACATCCAAAGAGCAATTTAAACACAGAATTTAAGCAGGAGCACAAGGAAAGCTCTAAAAAAAAAAAAAAAAAAAAAGACATTGGGACTCAGGGACTGGGCTTTTCCTGTCCCGATTTCATTCTCTCCTGGCCTCACTAACATAGCCTTCTAAACCAATAATTGCATATTAAGGGACAGAGACACCTGCTTTGAGCTGCTCTGGAAATGCAAATTTAGCTGCAATTTTAGCTTTCCTGGTTAGTAGCTGCTTTGATGTGCTGGAGAGTGTCATTAAAAGTTTAATTCTAAAAAAAGGCAAACTTAGGAAATTCAAAAATACAAAACTACATTAAGATGGAGTTAAGACTGAGCATACATATCAGTAATTTAAGGGTAAACACACATTACAGGGATGTTTTAATGCTTGATTTTGGGCATAATTACAATTCCAGGAAATTCAATTAAGGTTACACTTAAGAGAAATCTAAACATGTCAACTCAAGAAATGCACAGTTTAGACACTCAAACAACCTTAATTCTGTCCTCTAGCAATACCATGAGGGGGGAAAATATGGAAAAAAAACCCATATTTGTCTTTAAAATCAGGTTAATTAGGACAAACACTAATAAGTCTTAATAATAATGAGATTATTGCATGATGTCACTATATATTAAGCGTCAAATCCTGTCCAGAGGTATGCAGAGAGAATATGAGGGCTAGAGGACTGTGCAGAGAGCTTCCCTCCCCCAGGGGATCTGTACAACATAAAGGAAGGATGGATACCTACCCGTATCTAGCTACTAGACGAGGTATGGCCTACTGATTAGGAGTTGTGGTGAAATATATGCTTCCCAACTGTGTGTGAGACCAGGGCTGGCGCAACCCATTAGGCGACCTAGGCGGTTGCCTAGGGCGCTACAATTTGGGGGGCGGCGACTGCGACGGTATTTTGGCAGCGGGACCTTCCGCCGCCTCTGTGGGGGGCGGCATTTTAGGGCGGGACCTTCCGCCGCCTAGGGCGGCAGAAAACCTGGCGGCGCTCCTGCGTGAGACTCTATTTTGGAGTTGCAGTTAGGTGCACCCCTCAGAGCCATCCTGCTCTGCATTTACTGAATAGCTGTGGCTGATAGTCATGTCAAGGGAAGCAGAATCACACTAGAGCAGGATTTTCCCCTAATTATGCAGGTATACTCTCTCTCTAATAGTACAATAGAAGTTCTGGGCATGTCAACCTTGAGACCATCCTTTTAATTTACAATTATTGTACCCCAAGACTGTACAGCAGAAGCTAGGTTATTCAAGCTTCTCAGTTAGCTGAATTCTCAAACTTGTTATAGCTAATCAGCAGTGACCCTTTAATGTCAACAGATGAGTCATCAGCTACTTTAAGAGGCTAGATATTTTTAGCTACACAAAAAATCCCAACAGCGGCATCTTCGATATCTTTTTGCACAGATCTATTCTTCATATCAGACTCAATTCTATAAAAATATTTTCAAAATCTGCTTTATGCCCCATGAACCTCCAAATATTTTGAGGGGAATTTTGCATGTTTTTGCCACGTATTTCAGATAGTTTTAAGAAATAGAATGTCACTGAGTAATTCCTGCAGTGGAGGGAATTTTTCTGCCCTGCTAGGTAAGTGAACACTGTGCTGATCAATTTATGTACTCTGGTTAAAAGTTTTGCAATTAGATACCACATTTAGATACTACACTGATGGTCAAAAATACCTACACAGATAAAATTATGCTGGCACACATGAGTCAATGGGACCCAAGTTGCTCCCCAATAATGTAAGTGTGAAACATGAGTGACTGTAGCATGGGTTCAACTGCACTCCCAGAAATGATAAAACCCGGGGTGCAAACCCAGGCAAACATACCCTTCTCCTGGCCTAGTGCACTGGGGAGGGCTGTTGGGTTTGAGAGCAAGCCTGCCCTGCATCTATCTCACAGTGGCAGCTCCTGTCCCACGGGTTTGGGCCCAACTGCCTGCTATAGGCATTGCACCTGGTGTATAGCGTCGCAGCGCCACTCAGTTCTGTCCTGGCTGCAGATGCTGCAACACCCATGCACCATGTCACAACGCCACTCGATCAAATTTGGTCCAGCAGCCTCTCCTGTCACAATGGAGGGGCAGCCAGGGCAACCCCAAGTGATGCTGCGACCCCATGCACAGGTTGCAATGACTGGAACAGAGAGCAGGGCCCAGCCCCATGGGACAGGAGCCACCCCTGCAGGTGAGCCCAGGGCAAGCCTGCTCTCTAGCCACTTCCCAGCACCCAGGAGCGGCGCCAGGGTTCTTGCCGCCCTAGGCGGCAGCGCTTCTCCTCTGAGCATTCAGGGGGCCTGGGGTCTTCAGCGGCGGGGGTCCTTCCGCTCCACGTCTTTGGGGCACTTCGGCGGTGGGTCCCGGAGCGAGTGAAGGACCCGTCGCCGAATTTCCGCCGAAGAGAGGAAGTCAGAGAGGAGGCCTGGCAGTTTGTAACCACCACAGGCAAGAGATCACAGTGGCATTCTACATGGCTGGAGACAGATGAGGACGGGCAGGCTGTGGCCACCAAAGAGAAGAGGACTGTCAGGGATTCCATACATCTAGAAATTTCAAATCAATACCAGATCCTCAATGTGGAAACTTTGGAAGACACCTTACAAGATCCAGCAGGTCCAAGGGAAGGGAGACATGTAAGGGACACACATGTGGATAGCCTAACATGTAAGAAAATCAAGCTTGCCCGCAAAGAGTTCTCCAATCATCCAAGGAAGACAGACGATCCTTGTTGGAGATTTAATCCTCAGAAGAATTGAAAGAACATTCTGCAAGGGACAAGCAGACAACAGGATAGTGTGCTGCCTTCCCAGAGCCAAGACTGAACAGGTTTCTGAAGTCGACAGGTGAGGAGACGTTGGTGATGGTTCAGATCGGCACTAATGGAACTGCATTGCAGGATATTTCACAGATATTAGATGACTTCAGGGAACTCAGAAATGCGCTGAAGAAGAAGAATAATATCCAAGCAATCTTCTCTGAGATTCTTCTTGTTCCACGAGCTACATAATCCTGCAGCACTTCAATTTGAGTGATATATGTGGGAGATCTCATGCTGCCACTACTAAAACATTTTGGAATTTCTAAACATTATGGATGACAATTTTCTACACAAAAAGTGTTGCAGCCAACATGGGGGAATTCTTTTTTAAACCTTGTCCTAACAGATAAAGGGAAACTGACTACAGAAGTAGAAATTAACAGTATCTTAGTACAAGTGATCATGACTCAATCAAATCTATAGTGTTCAAGCAGAATAAAGTCCAGATCAGTAATATTGGTTCTTTAATAGGGCCAATTTCACAAAGCTAAAAACAATTATGAGCCAAATCAGCTGGGAGGAAGAATTTAATCAGAAAAGAGTGAATCATAATTGGGATTCATTTAAGAACACCTTACTAGATGCCCAAAAAGCTGTAGACCCACAGCTGAGGAAGAAGGCCGTACTGGTAAAAAAATGACCTGGTTTAGAGGGGAAGTGAAGGCAGCTATAAATATATAACAAATGGAAGAAGGGGAAGCTGAGAGTAATGAATATAAATCAGAAGTTAGGAACTGTAGAAAATTGATAAGGGAAGCAAAGGGGCGCAGGGAGAAATATATGGTCAGTACACTTAAGGACAATAATGATTTTTTAAAATGTATCAGGAATAAAAAGAATCTTGACAATAATATTCATCCACTACTAGATAGAAATGGTAGACTTATCAATAGTAATGCAAAAAGGCAGAAGTGTTCTATAAATATTTCTGTTGTATATTTGGGGAAAACAAATGATATAGTCTCATCATATGGTGAGAACACTCTTTCCATTCTATTAGTACCTCTGGAGGATGTTAAACAGAAGCAATAAAAGTTAGATATTTTAAAATCAGCAGGTTCAAATATCTTGCATTCAAGAGTTTTAAAAGAGCTGCTGAGTTGTTCGCTGGACCATTAATGTTGATTTTCAACAAGTCTTGAAGCACTGGAAAAGTTACAAAAGACTGGAAGAAAGCTAAGGTTGTGCCAATTTTTAAAAAGGGTAAACGGGATGACTCACATAATTATAGGCCTGTCAGCCTGACTTTGATCCCTTTCAAGATAATGGAGTGGCTGATATGGGACTCAATTAATAAAGAATTAGGAGGGTAATGTAATTAATGTTTATGGAAAACAGATCCTATCAAACAAACTTGGTATCTTTTTTTTATGAGATTACAAGTTCGGTTGATAAAGGTAATAGTGTTGACATAATATACTTAAGACTTCTCTAAGGCTTTTGATTTGGTACCATGCAACATTTGATTAAGAAACTAGAAAGATATAAAATTAACATGGCACACATTACATGGATTAAAAACTTGCTAATTCATAGATCTCAAAGCATAACTGTAAACGCGGAATTGTCATTGAGCAGGTCTGTTTCCATCATGTTGCCGCAAGGACTGGTTCTTTGCCCTAAGGTATTTATCATTTTTATAAATCACCTGGAAGAAAACTTAAAATCATCACTGACAAAGGTGGCAGATGACACAAAAATAGGGGGAGTGGTAAACAATGAAGAGGACAGGTCACTGATTCAGAGTGATCTGGATTGCCTGATAAACTGGGCGCAAGCAAACAATATGCATTTTAATACAGCTAAATGTAATTGTGTACATTTGGAACAAAGAATGTAGGCCAGACTTATAGGATGGGGGACTCTTATCTAGGAAAGCAGTGACTAAAACAAGATGTGAGGGTCATGGTAGACAATGAACTGAACATGAGCTCCCAGTGTGATGCTGTGGCCAAGACAACTAATGTGATCCTGGGATGCATAAACAGAGTAATCTTGAATAGTAGCAGAGAGGTAAAAATAACCTCTGTATTTGGCATCGGTGCAACTACTGCTGGAATACGGTGTCCAGTTCTGGTGCCCACAATTCCAGAAGGATGTTGATCAATTGGAGAGGGTTCAGAGAAGAGCCATGAGTATGAGTAAAGAATTAGAAAACCTGCCTTATAATGAGAGACTCAAGGAGCTCAATCTATTTAGCTTATGGTTAAGGGGTAACTTGATTACAGTGTGTACATACCTCTGTGGGGAACAAATATTTAATAATGGGCCCTTTAATCTAGCAAAGAAAGGCATAACATGATCCAGCGGCTGGAAGTTGAAGTTAGACAAATTCAGACTGGAAACAAGGGGTAAATTTCTAACAGTGAGGGTAATTAACCATTGCAACAATTTACCAAGGGTCATGGTGGATTTGCCATCACTGACAATTTGGATATTAGATGTTTTTCTAAAAGATATGCTCTAGGAATTATTTTGGGAAAGTTCTATAGTTATACAGGAATCTCAGACTAGATGATCACAGTGTAAGGCCCTGGAATATACGAACCCTGGCATGGCAGAGCTCTCCGGGAGCTGCGGATCATACAAGCGTTGGATCTATGGGTCCATGGCAGACAGCATGGAAGGGCCCATACATGCGATTTGGTGCAAGTTAATTGAACCCTATTCGTTTTCTTGAAAAATCTCAGGTTCAACCGACCAGCATTTTCTGATGAAACTAGGTAAGATAAAAATAAAGATTTAAAACTTACCAAAAACCATCCGCCATATCGCTGGATGTGGGCGAGTAAAAGGCCCTGTGGAGAGAAATGTTTGTTAGATGACAGTGAATTGATTACAAAGAGTAAAACTACAGCATATTATTTTTAAGACTTGGTTCAGGGGGATAGCAGCAAAAGTTAACATGCAAGATCAGTTTTCCTTCAAGCTTCACAATGTACTTGAAGGTTTGGCTTAGAGCCTCTGCTGTATTTAAGTAAAACAAGTTCATTAGCAATTGATTCTAGGATTTGAAGGTTTTTTGATCATTACTGGGACATGGAAGAAATATGCAACTACTTTTCATTGGTATTCTTTCCCCGGCGATAAGAAGATGGCATGTATTTTGGATGCATGTATGCTGAGGTGCCAGCTGCTGGTATTTCTAACAGGCTGATCTCTTGATCTGTTTTCTAGATTACATCTGTTTTGTGGTTTTTTACAGTTGCAGGCATGTTTCGTTTTGGGAATGAAAAAGTAATCAAGTACAAGTTTCTGCAGGTTAGCAATGAAATTGGGGGCAGTGACTCCCAAAAACATTATCAGGCAGGCCACCTAAAACGTCTAACGGACTTAATAACAGATATCGCAAAGAATATCAGGCATCTTACACACAGTGGTTGGATTTGTGTGAAAAAATCAGCTCTTCTGTCTACAAAATTGAAATTGATACCTTTAAAGACACCATTAAGATCAAACACAAATCCTGATTAAACACACAGCTCAAAAGGGTTTAACTTCAAGATATTTTCTCAAGAGCCTGGATTTCTGAGGATGAGTGTCCTCTTATTACAGCTTCTGTTTTAGATTTATTTATTTTGCCAGAGATTAGATTGACTTCTTTTATTAAATTAAAACACCAAACTAGTGCAAAAAGAGAAGTGGAGATAAGGGCCACCTTTGTCTGGTAGAGCTGAAAACTTTCTAAATATAATCCATTCTTCTAGACTGCAGGAAGAGGCTGAAAACATAGATCTTTAATACACATTATGAATTGCTCTTTAAATCCCATATGCAAATAGCTATGCCTATTTCAACCTGCAAGGGTTTTTTTCTAAATCCATAATTGAACAACAGTCACATGCAGATCTTGTGGTATGGGTGATAACATTATGCAACCTCCTTCGCATATCCAAATTTGTTCTTCCCTATAGGAAATCGGTTTCATCTGCGTGTGATACATAATTCATTTATGGGGGTAGGGAGATTAATGATTACCTTGATGAGATTTTATAGAATGTAGCTATGGGACAGGCACACTAGGTTAAACCCTTGCCTTTTTTTTGTCAACAGCATAATAGTGGTTGATGTTAATTTGGAGGAAGTCATTTTGAAATTACGATTTGTGTGAGTAATCCCTGAATTTGTAAGGAGTTATTTATTTGCTCCACAAAGATTTTGGAAAAATCTACCCAAAACCAATTATGGGCCATGAATCCGAGTTTTCTAAGAGAGTTAATAAAGTTAACAGTCATGTAATCTCCACCTTCCTAGCACCCTAATCTTTCTGTTAGCTAAGCATATTTAAAAATACTTAGTTCCAGCCATAATTTTTCAATAAATACATTAAGACTATAACTCCCATCAGGAAACTCACATCAACAACTTTAAAAAAAAATGTGCTAGTTCAAAAAGAATTATTATGGGGAAGTTCTATGGGATGTATTATACAGGAGGTCAGACTAGATGCTCACAGTGGTCTCTTTTTGCCTTGGAATTTATGAAGCTGGATTTTGGCAGGCTTTTACATCTGATGAGAGGAGACATGATCTCTAATTTATCCTCTCTGCCCCCTCAGATACTCTTGTGTGATCCTTCAAGATTGAAGAATCATTTGCTGTTGAAGACAGAGCTGATCACCAGGAGTTTACACAAGCTCTCTTTCGTGCCAGAACAGCCTCATCTAGAATGCACTAATTCATATTGTGCCAATGTGCACTCCAAAATAAAACTTTCATGGCGTATATGGGTAATATAACCAGGAATTCAGTTTCTTGCACATAAAACTCTTAATCATAAGACAAAGCTCTAGCGAGTCCTTTTAAAATGTTCCCCTTTAAAACTGCAAATCTGTCCCGATTGAAACTATTGCTGAACAGAGGCAGCATGGGAATATCTGAAATGGGGGGAAGCAAAACTGACCAACAAATGTATGGTCATAGCCAGTCTACAGCAGCAAACAAAGATCACACTATATGTAACTCAAAACAGGATAACACTTCTCCTGAAGGGTCTCCAGTGTAACCAAAGCATTATTCTTTTCAACTCCCATCATTAGTAGAACATGGCAATACAAATATTTTGATTTACTTCACAACCACACTCACAATCAGTGAAAAATTCTTTCAAGTTTCATTTTCTTAGAGGGTGGAGAGGAATTAGAGCAACTCTACCGTTGTACATCCGTAACAATAAAGGTTAGATTTAGGTTCTAGTTCTGGCTCTGCCACTAGTCTTTTATATGACCTTCAGCAAGTCACTTTCCCTCCTGGAGCCTCAGTTTTCCCATCTATAAAGTGTGGATAATGACACTGACCTCCCCTTTGCAAAGCACTTTGAGATTTACTGATGTAAAGCACTGTAGAAGAGCCAGGTATTATTAATTATTATTATTAAGAGATTTAATCCCCAAATATGCTGAAAGAGCTGACATTTCCATTTTCAAGGGACTATGGCTCTCTAGCAACACCATGCAAAAGATAAATAACCTGTATTTTGTTGGTATTTCAGCTCAATGCTAATACAACTAATTTATACAGTTGCTTAATTTAATTCAATGTAAAGACAGTGAATAAAATCTATCTAAATCTAAAAAAAACAGTTACTAACCTTTTGTAACTGTTGTTCTTCGAGATGTGTTGCTCATGTCCATTCCATGTTAGGTGAGTGTGCTCGCCACATGCATCGGTGCCAGAAGTTTTTCTTCAGTGGTATCCGTAGGGCACCAAGTCTGGTGCCCTCTGGAGTGACGCACATATGTGCCTCCACCATCCCTCAGTTCCTTCTTGCCAGAACTCCGAAAGTGGAGAAGGAGGGTGGGTCATGGAATGGACATGAGCAACACATCTTGAAGAACAACCGTTACGAAAAGTTAGTAACCGTTTTTTCTTCTTCAAGTGATTGCTCATGTCCATTCCATGTTAGGTGACTCCCAAGCAGTACCATCGGAGGTAGGTAAGAGTTCATGGACGTGTTGATTGCAACAAAGCTCTGCCAAATCCAGCATCATCTCTGGCTTCCTGGGTGATGGCGTAATGAGTGGTGAACATGTGTACTGAAGACCACGTCGCAGTGCTACAGCCCGCGGTAACTCGTAACAGGTGCGGATGCAGTGGTGATCCAGTTTGAAATCCTTTGAGAGGACACTGGAAGGCCCTTCATTCTGTCAGCAACAAAGAGTTGAGTTGATCTGCGGAAGGGATTGTTGCGCTCCAAATAGAAAGCTATGGTGTGCCTGACATCTAGAGCATGCAGGCATCTCTCCTCATTGGTCTTGTGAAGTTTCAGATAGAACACAGGAAGGAAGATATCCTGGTTGATTAGAGGAGCATGCAAAGTCTAATGTCTCTCCCTCTCTTGGTCCAGAGCTTGCATCCCTTACAAATGCGGCACTTTTTATGGATATGGGACTCACCTAGACATTTCAAACAGCTTAGGTGTGGATCGCTAATTGGCATTGGCTCCTTAAAGTGATCACATGACTTAAAGCCTGGGGAACAAGGTATGCCCCATCCCTGGTCTAAGTCCCTCAGGGGACTATTCGCTAAGGTCTACTAGCTATTAAGAACTGTTAAGAACTGTAAACTAACTACTAACTAACAACTATTTACACAAAAGCTCAAAGAACCACTGAATAGAAACCGCTTGCTAGAACAAGGGGAGCATTCCAGCACCAACACTGGCGATAAGAAGGAGGGTAGGGGGGGAGGCTTATACCGGAGCATATGCACACCACTCCAGAGGGCACCAGAACCAGTCCCCAATGGATACCACTGAGGAAAAACTTCCGGCACTGGTGCATATGGTGAGCACACTCACCTAACATGGCATGGACATGAGCAATCACTTGAAGAAGCAGCAAGCAATCCTTTCCATCTCAGAAAGTAAATGGCAACAAGTGAAAAGAAATATGCATGTGAAATAAAGGTAAAGCATCAATATACTTACCATTTGGAAAAGCTAGAACACTAATGATTAGAAAGAAGAAAACCACAGAGAGGATACCCTTCCAAATATTATCTTCTGGGATAGAATCATTCCTGAAAAGACAGACATCATCAAGTTAGTAACATGACTTTTTTGAGGACAATGACAAAAGGCATTCTAGATACCAGGTTAATGAAATACATTTGGAAATAAGCATTGAAAATCAATGGTGGTTCAGAACCAATAAGAGATGCTAACTTAGTAATGGTTTCACTTGACACCCTTGCACATCCATTTATACAAGAAAAAAGCTAAACATAAAATCAATATACACAGACCAGGAGCACAGCTTCTAGCCATTGTCAGAACTGACTGCAAAGTTAAAATAATAAGACTTAAATTATTCCTCTTCTTTTGGAGAAAGGTTGTTGTTATATTATAGCCAAATGATAGACGTAAGCATCCAGTGTGAATATCTTGACAGGAAATCCTGGCAAGCCTGATTTAGCTGTTTTTCCTTCTCAGATAGCTAAGAGTACCATCTAGTTTACATGGGAGATCCACCCATTTCAGAATAGATCTGGCTTTTTCAAACAAATTCTCTCTTCTTCAGTCAGTTCTAGGAGCCTTAAATAACAAAATCAGTAAGTGTAACCATTAATTATTAGTAACTCAAATACAAGCATAGTTGATATAGCACATCTTAATTATTACTATTAAGATTAAAATCTTATTGCTTATAACTAAATATTTTAATGTACTCATCATGAACTTATCTAGATACCAATATACAATGCACAGTAATATATTCCATTATTTCTTCCTTTCCTTTTAGTGTCAAATTTTCTTTCTAGTTTTACAATGGACTAAGCTGTGCATAGTGAAGTAAGGGTATCTTATTTCAGGATGGTTCAAACATGAATCTGCAGCAGCAGAATTTGCCCCACAATAATTGCCAGGATGGGATCAGTGAGGAAATAGTACTGTATGTTAGAGTTTGCACTAACATTTAGCCTCAGATGCAGGATTATAAATGTGGGCAGAGCCGCTCCTGCGGGGGGGGTGGCGCCCAGGGTGGAAGTGACGGATTCATCTCTTCTGGGAACGACTGTGCCAGCCAATCGCACCAGCTCGCAGGGCCCCCCCAAAGTGCGGGGCCTGGAGCGGTCGCCCCGATTCGCCCTACCCAAGGGGCAGCTCTGAATGTGTGACATATAATTTTCCCCTCTTCCAAAGTGCTGCATAATCTCCTATTTAGATTGTAAGCTCTTTGGGGCAGGAACAGCTTTGTTTGTTTTGTGTTTGTACAGCCCTTAGCATATTAGGGTCCTGGTCTATGACAACGGCTCCTAAGTATTATGGTAATACAAATAAAGAATAATAATACATTACACCACAACGGAGTGCCATGGCAGCCTTTCCGACCCGTGAAACTTCTAAGCCCTGTATAGGTCAGGTCTGCCATGGGAAGGCTGCTGCCATGCGAAGCTCCCATACGGCACATGAACAGGGACCTACCAAATTCATGACTGTGAAAAACACGTCACGGACTGTGAAATCAGATCTCCCCCATGAAATCTAGCTATTGGAGGGGCAGGGCTGGGGGCGCCCCAGCCGGGGGCTCCTACTGTTCACTAGGCTCCAGCTGCTGGGGTGGGGTGGGACAGGACTTCCTCTTTCCCTGCACAGCTGCTCTCAGGGGGAGATCAGCCCCATCTCTGGGTACCTCCCCTAGCTGCAGGAAGCTCATGGCTGCTACCAGCTCTGAAGACTCCCAGCAGCACAGGGGAGATCAGACCCACCTCACCCTCCGGGAATCTCCCCCAGCTGCAGGAAGCTCCACAGCTGCTGCCTTCAGAGCCCAGAACTGAGGGTGGCAATCCCACGACCCCCTACATCAGCTTTGCAACCCCACTACCACCCCCTTTTGGGTCAGGAACCATGTGGTAACAACACCCTGAAATTTCAGATGTAAACATCTGAAAATGTGAAATTGACCAATTTAAAAACCCTCTGGCCCTGAAATTGATCAAAATGGACCATGAATTTGGCAGGGTCCTACATATGACTAAAGCTCTCACCAAAAGAAGTTGAGAGCTTTACTCATATTTAATAAAAGGTATTTCCTCACCCACCTCTAAAGCACCTCATGGTAGTGACCTTTCTCTAATCTTCCCCCTGTTCCATCCAGATTTACTAGTGTCCGTTTCCTGCTTGTAGTGCCACCCATGCATGTCTTAGAGTCATTCCATGACTAGCTTAAAAACAGGAATTCTGCCCTAGCACTGGGCTCCCTGTGCTCCTCCAGGAGTTCTGCCTTGAAGAGCTGCTGCCCTGTCTTCTCCAGCCGACCCACAGATTCACAATGGCTCAGCATACAGAGGCAGTATTCCTCTGCTACAAATTCACATAGCAGTGTACATTCATTATTTTCACTTAGTAATGCCTGGTAGAATGTTTTCCATAAAAATGAAAGCTACTGAATGATTTAATAATCAAGTAAAATTGCTGCATAATTCAGTGCAACCTAGCCACATATGTTAGAGAAGGATGGACTAAGTCACTTAAGTTAAACCTAATGTGGCAGCAAATATATTTGGCTTTGTACAGATCAAGATTTCTGAGCCTTGTAGAGCTTTTTTTTGGTCACTACATGACTACATGAACAGATCAGATCCATCCCCCCCCCCCAAGACCCTGACTATTGTGTTAATCTAACATCTTTCTCTCTGTACATCCTCTTTACTTACTGCCTACTAGATATTCAAAGCCTTAATTAAGAAAGAAATTAATTAGTTCATTTTGGGATTAATACAGTGACACTTTTTAAAAGTATGTTTATCCTGTCTTCTTGCCAGAGGCAGGTAAGAAAAAATGTGAGTCACAGCTTAGTTACTGCTTCTAAGCTAGAAGATAGACTACAGTGTTTGTTTGGAAGAGGTGTTGCTGAGAATCCCGAGAGGAAGGTGCAGGCACAGAGAAACAAAATGCCTATCACAACAAACCATAATTAAGAAAATGTACTCTTGAGGGGCTGTGCCAAAAAAATAAAAATTCTGCACACAATATTTTAAAATTCTGAAAATTTTATTTTCGATAAATAAATGTGGAGGCTCCAGCATGGTAGTGAGGAGCACAGGCCACTGGCTGCATGGAGGTGGGAGATCACCCTAAAGCCCCCACATCCGAGCACACGGACTCGGTGGTTGCACTGTGTCAGGGTCAGGAGTAAGGGCCGGGCCTGCCCAGAAACACCCTGTGGCCCTGCCCCTCTGTGCCAGGCACACCAGGTGGGGGCAAGCAGGCTCAGCCCAGCAGGATCCAAGTGTGAAGGGCCTTAGTGTGGGGGGACAGGGTTCTGTGTGGGGCAATCTGGGTGTGGGGGATCTGGATGAACAGGGACTCACTGGGGGGGTTATGGGTACAGGGGCAATGGGACTCTGCAGGGGGGTCCAGGTGAAGGTGGTTGGGGCTCAGAGGGGAGTGGGGGGCTGGATGCAGGTGGCTTGGTGGGGGGGAGGGGTGTCCAGGTGTTGAGGGGGTGGGGCTTGGTCGGTAGGGGTTCAGGTCCAGCTGGCTGGGGCTCAGTGGGGTGGGGGTCTGGGTGCAGCTGTAACCCTATACAAAACCAAATCAGAAACCAAGAGTTAGGATGGCCCAGACATGTTGGTTTAATCAGCACTGTTCCAGTGTTTTGATGGGATGGGAATGCACAGTCCTGCATTCTATTCCTGCTTTAATAAAACACAGCCTGTCACCTCCATTAAATGCTGCTGTGTGGGCTTCACAAAGGAGTGCCCACCGCAGCCATCCCTCAGTTGCCATTTTTCCCTTGTTGATTGCCTCTCAGCTAAATGAAAGCCATATCCTCCTCCCCAGAGGAGGAAAGGGAAACAGTGGGGCACAGTCAATAGGCATCCCAGCTATAGCAACAGATTTGGAGGTGGGAAGCCAGAGACCAGCTTATCCAAACAAGGCAGGTGCAGCAGTTGCCCTGAATATTTAGGTGACAGATACATTAGAAAAGCCTAAAATAGGCAAATTAGGCAATTAAACACAGATTCAAATTTACTTTGTTGGCTTTTCCACATTGAAGTAACCCCTCTCTGAAGTCTAGCTCCACACCAGTCTGCCAACTTCAGGACTGTGACCTCTGTCTCCTGAGATCCTAATGAAGAACCACTACCAGGTTCCCAAAACTAAGGATGGATCTGGCTGCTGCATCCAACAGAAGAGCTTTTCCCAGGTTCCTCTGAGATCCTTAAATTTCTGGCATAGAAGGAACTGAGGACGAGACAAGAAAGAGGCTTTCCAGGGCTGAGTTAGCCCATCCTTGTCTGATGTTCCTTAAAAATAAACTTGTACTAATAATTACACTACTAAGTGTATAAGACAACATGCCTGAATTTTGGGTTACCTGCCTGCATTGCACATGTGAATTTGTCACGGGTGGGTAGTAAGTGACTGCAGAAGGAAAGCAGCGGTGAGTCATTTATGTTTAGGTCTAAGAAAACTGGGACTCTCTGAAGGGATATTCCAAAGGGGCAGAGGAGTGATTGGGACTGGATGGCCCAACCATGGGAAATGAGAAAATGGTGGGAAGAGGCTCAAACACCATGATGAGGAGAACAGGAAAGACAGACAGTGGGGAATGTAACTGGAAACACATGATGATATACTCTTTTCTTCTCTATGCCTATTCAAACAGCTAGCTACATGTGCTGGGTATTGCCCCAGCAATGGAAGAAGAGTGGCATGTTTGTATTACTCAGATTGAGGAAGTTGGTAAAATGTGGGTCTGGCTAGAGAATCTTGCCTGTATGCTCGGGGTTCTACTGATCGCCATATTTGGGGTCGGGAAGGAATTTTCCTCCA